GTTGGAGAGCTCGCGCAATTCGGTGGAGCGCGTTGAAATTCTCGCGCGATTTGATGAAGCGAGGTGAAATCCGCGCGCGATTTGGTGGAACGCGGTGGAATCGCGCGCGGATGGAGGGAGGGGGGCTGACCGCGCAATTGATGGAGGAGAGGGATGCTGACCGCGCGATTGATGGATGGGAGGGGTGCTGACCGTGCGATTAGACATCATTGGGAGGCGCGTGGTACGTAGGCGCGTGCTGTGCACGCGCTCCGCTGCTGGTTTTTTTTTCCCTCTCTTCTGCTTCAGCTCCGCGCGTCTGGCGCGTGGTATCCACGCACGCGTGCTTTGTACGCGCGGTCCTCTCTCTTTTTTCTTTTTTTTTCTTCTTTTTTTTTTACTCATCCTTCAGCTCCGCGCGTCTGGCGCGTGGTATCCACTCGTGCGGGTTGTGCACGCGCCATCCTATCTTTTTTTTTTCTCTCTTTCTCTTTCTCTTTCTTCTACACATTCCCGCGGACCGAGGCGCGCTTGGACCAATTGCGCGTGTTGTCCGCGTGTTTTATTTTCTCTTCTTTTTGGTGTACGCGCGCGTTTTTTTTTTTTTTTTTTTTTTTGAGGTGGTTGATGTCCACCCCTTAGAGGATGTTCTATTTTTTAGTGGAATTATACTCATCTCTTGAGATAGCATGTGAATCCCTTTGGGTTGTTGCATTCGAGACTTATGGTCCGAAGTGGATGCTCACAACACACTTGTTTGGTTGTCGTTCCTCTTCGGTTATCTGAACTGTTCGAGGAGCAAAGTAGAAGTTGATCCTGTTGAGGATCCAATGGGGCCTCGCGAGGGCGAACTTGTGTTGGATCCCAAGTGCACGGATTTATCTGGACATCATGAGGTGGATCCTGATTACGAGGAGGAAGTGGCAAGTCAGAGCCTCCGCGAGGTTGGAGGTTGTTAGCATTGACAAGTTCTCTCCGAATAGATGACTCAGGGACATCATGAGCGCTACGTGATTTTGTATGCCTTCCCACAGACGACGCCATTCGATGATGCTATAAATAGATCACCTTAAGTAGTAGAAATAAAGGGAGCTGGGAGAGCAATGTGGATCACTGCTCACGTGCTAGATGGCCCTAAGATACCTGCGAACAGAGAACACCTGAACTAGGCGGGGGGTTGATCCGGCGGAAAACCCTCCGACGCTCAAGTCAGACGTGCGGATAGTGAAAATAGTCCAGAGAATATTGTTGGTAGTATTGCTCAGATAATATGACGTACCTTTAATAAATGAATTATATCGTTATTTATACCTTAGCTGAGATTGTTGGGCCCAAATCTTGTTTAAAGGTGATTGTGCCTCAGTGATAGTGGTCTTCAATATCAGGCTCGTGGCCCAGTAGATAAATAAATTGTAAGCCCATTGAGTTGGGTCAGTTAGACATATCACAATTGATTATTAATCTTTAATATTTTTATGATAATAGGAGTAAACGGGGTATTATGCTACGTGAGGGGGCTATCCCTAATAGTGGATAAAAAAGTAGATTTATGCCTGTAAGAAAATTGTACGAGGTGGTTATCTAACCCCGTAGAGTATAACTGTATAGGTTATCGAAAAAAGATGCGGTCAAATATGTCCAGATTTAAGTTCACGTATGTTTATCAAGATTGTAAAAAGCGGTAATCGGGTTGGAAGCGGTTAGACACCGACTCACGATTAATTGGTGCGGCGGTGATTAATCGGTGATAAATCAGAAATAAATCGATTTTTAAAATTTAATATAATATATTTCTAGATATTATTTATAAATACTCAAAATATATATATAAATATCTATAAAGATATTTAAACATGGGGTCATTACAAATAAACCCATCAATGGGTACTTATTCATAAAGAGATCCAGACGAAAAACTCATTTACCAATAATAAGTCCACACATGGTTCAGATTTTTGTAAAGAACTAAAATAACCCCTCATACTTTAATATGCTCCAATTTTATCATTAACTAAATTTAACTTCAATTTGACCGCAAATTTCACAAATTATTCAATTTTGACCCAAAAATGTTTTTTTTCAAATTTTTTTTTTCAAAAGATTTTTTTTCCCGCCGGATTCCGACGTTAGCTTTGCAATTTTTTTTTCTTCTTCTTTCCTTTCTTTCTGTAAATTTTTTTTTTCCGTTTAAACAACAATATTGCTATGATTATTAATATTACTGTTAAACGCTATAAAATTAACTAAACTACAGTTTAACACAGTAATATTGTTAAATTAATCTCTAGCACAGTAATATTAACACAACAAAACTCATTATTATTGTGTAATAGAGTAATATTACTATGTTGACCGTTCAACAAATGTAAACATAATAAAAAACCAAAAGAATTAATATTAGTGTGAGTGACAGTAATATTACTATAACAACAGTAATATTACCGTCAACCACAGTAATATTACAATAATAGGTTGTAATATTATTACGTTACTCCGTGAATAACTCAAACAAACAAAAAATCCCAACAAAATAATAATATTGATGTGGTTGACAACAATATTACTATAACAACAATAATATTACCGTCAACCACAGTAATATTATTGTGTTTACAGTAATATTACAATAATAGACAGTAATATTATTACGTTATTCCGTGAATAACTCAAACAAAACAAAAAACCCCAAAAAATAATAATATTGAGGTTGTTGACAGTAATATTATTGTGTTTACAGTTATTTTACTGTCAACGACAGTAATATAATTACGTTGACTTGTCAACAAATCAAACAAAATAAAAAAAAACAACAAAAAATAAAAAATAATAATATTACATTAATTTACTGTCAATGGCAGCACAATTATATAAATGTATTGTCAACGGCAGTACAATTACGTTAATTAACTGTCATTACAGTATAATTACGTTAATTTACTGTCAGTGACAGCACAATTACGGTCAACGTTTAGCGGCGGACGTAAAAAAAAACTTAGAAAAACATAAAAAACACTAAAAAAAATCAACACCGGAAACCGGTGAAAAAATCCGGAAGAAAAGAAAAGAAAAAAAAGTCAACGCCGGAAACCGGCGAAAAAATCCGAAAGTTAGAAAAAAATAAAAATAAAAAAAATTGAAAAGTCAACGCCGGAATCCGGCGGCAAATTTCTTTTTTTTTTGTAAAATTTTTTTTTTGAAAAAAAAGGTTTTGGGTCAAAATTGAATAATTCGTGAAATTGGGGTCAAATTGAGATTAAATTAAGTTAAGGATGAAATCGAAGCATATTAAAGCATGCTAAAAAAAAAGTCAAAATTTAATTTTTGTGGACAAAATTGATTAAATTCGAGTTATAATTAAGAATTGGGTATAAATGGTTGAGGCTAATATTGGCATATACATGAATGTTTCCTTTATTTATAATAAATATTAAAGGGATGGGCTTATTGGTGAAAGAGATATAGCCCCTAAACGTAGAATAATAAAAATGTTTGATTGGGAACTTATGCACAAAAACCCCTTTAAACATAGTTATATCTCCATCATGTGTAGATGCTAATAGCATAATAAAAATTTAATAATAATAATAAGATCATAATACATAAATAGCCTTATAAAATATACATAAAAATGTATTTTTTTTAAATTTAAGTTTATTCTTCAACATTCTTGGAATACATCATTCGGTTCTTTAACAATAACAGTTGACATAAATAAAATAAAGTATGAACTCATTTTTTTTTATTAAAATCCCAAATTTTATTTTGATAAATAAAAATAAAAAAATAAAAAAGAAACTTGAGTTTTGATCATTCTTTGCCACCAACTTAAAGGTTTGACGATCTTGGACCGCCTCAAGGCACCTCAGACCGCCTTATAGGTAAAAACCGAATTTTCAAACCTTTACAGTAAAATGTAAAAATTTGGGACTGCATCCACCTTAGAGACCGATTAATCGGCCACCTCTACCGATTTTTAGAACACTGATATTTATTCTAATTTCCAAAAGAAGTTATGAGGATAATTAATACATACAAAATATATATTATAATTGATACTTGTGACTAAAACTAAAGGGCATTTTACAAATGAGTAAACATAATTCTTGCGAAACATGAATATATATATATATATATATATATATATATATATATATATATATATATATATATATATATATATATATATGTGTGTGTGTGTGTGTGTGTGTGTGTGTGTGTGGGCGCGCGCGCAAATGGTGTGAAATATGCAGTAAAACACAATATATGACTTTACGTGACTGTGAGTACAAGTGTTAGCAAACATAACAGGTGTAGTTAAGCAACTATACGTGACTATTAACTGAAAATTCAGATCCATAACGAGTTTTACAGCTACTTAATTCGAGAAAAAAATATACCGGTTGATTTGTAGATATTCAGCAGTTGCGATTTTGGCAAAGGACGACGACGGCGATTTTGGAGGGCGGCGGCTGTGGTGAGAACATGGGCGGCGTGGGATAATTTCTAGATCTCCACCGGTGTCCCGCTGCTAGTCCTTTGAATCCTTTACTGTCTGTGTTTGTCGATTCCTGCTGCCGGGATCTTCTGTTGCCTCCTCGATTTTTTAGTGGTGGAAATATTAGATCTAGGGTTTGGTAGGATGAAGAACAGAGAAAAAGAGAAAAAAAATCAGTTGAGAAACAAGAATGACGATTGGGAGCGGAATAAAAAGAATTAGGATTTAGGGTTATTGTGGTTGAGGGTACTTTTGTCTAATCACATAGGTCTAGGGGGTTCTCACAAATTAAAACTGAGATTTGGGTGTAGGCAAAAGTTTTTAAAGTCAATAGGGTTTAGTTCAATATATTTCCCATATGAGGGGTAATTGCATATTTCCCCATTTTATTAATAGTAGTAAGGGCAAACATGAGATAAATACAATAAATGCTTCATTGGAAATTCAAAGTGACAATTATTTTGAAATAAAAAAAAATTCTAAAGACAAATAAAATGGGAATAATGGAGTAATAATTACATCATGATTAAGACGGAGGAAGTTTAAGGGGTTGATGGATTAATGACTTCACATCCTCCATTATTTGTTGCGGGGAAGTAAATTCATCACCACCACCAGATGAGTACAAATAATAACCCATTTTGCATATCTCTGAGAACAAATCTTTGCATTTTCTTGGAACAATGGTTTCTCTCTTATAAACCATTCTCAGCAGTTTTCTCCGATTATACTCTATCAATTTTTCAATCTTCGAAACTGCCATCTCTTCGTCTTCATCGTCAGATTCTTTTACAATGCTCACCGCATTTACCCTCCTTTCTTCCTTCTCCTTCTGTCAACACATATCATTAAGGGTAAATTACATTCACATCCCTGAGGTGTGCTAAAATACTTTTAAGGTCTTTGTAGTGTCTTACAATCACTCCTGAAAACATTGGTAGGAACTCTAACGAAATAATATATTAGACAAGGTATTCCGCTAGGGTTGTAACTGACTATTAGTTTCATACAGTGGTTGAGACAACATAAAGCTAGGGGGTGACATGACTCTCCTAACATTTCTTAAAACTTATTACTTTATAAGATTTATAAATTTTTGTCTATGGTAGCATTAACGGCCCTGCGGGTAATAAATATAGTGCATATTGGACTTCAGGACAGGAAATCTTGGCTCCAGTAATTATTTAAGGGATCTGACTGTAATTACCAATACCACAAGAACCTTAAAGTTATTTTAGCATACCCTCAGGAGTATAGCTGTAGTTTACCCTTAATTTAGAGTACCATGGATACATAACACATGCATGTTTACGTAATAATTAATTATATATTGAAACATTTTACTCCCTCTGTTCCACAATATTTGTCAGTTTTGAGAAATTTTTTTGTTCCATAATATCAGTCACTTTAAATTTTCAACACTACATTCCTTACTTAATTTCCAGTCCTTATTAACTATTTCCATCACTCTTTCTTTAACTCAGTTTTCTCTCTTATTAATTACTCCTTCCGTTCCATAATATATGTCGCTTGGAGAATTTTGTTTGTTCTATATTATCTGTTACTTTAAATTTTCAACACTTCATTAATTACTTAATTTCCATTTGATACCCTTATTAACTCTTTTCAATACTCTTTTTCGACTAATTTATCTCTCTTATTAATTATAAGACAAAGTCATTTTAGTCTAAAGCATACATTTTCCTAAAATCAAGACACATTTAATGAAATTCTTAATCATTGTGAAAAGCTAAAAAAATACAATTAAAATGGAATGGGGGGAGTATAAGATAAGGTTATGTGAGTCTAAAAACATACATTTTCCTAAAATCAAGGCACAATATAATTAATAAAATCCGTAATCCTTGTGCAAAGCTAAAAAACGACGATTAAAAGGGAACGAAGGGAGTACCTGAGAAGATTGAAGATCATTGAGCAGGCGGTTGACCGTGCCAACATGCATGCACAAGCTAATACATTCCTCACTCAAAATCGTTTCTTCAGATAATTTTATACCAAGGAAATATATGGAAGTGAGTATGCATATTTCGGTACCGACCGATATCCGAGCAAAAGACAAGTACTCATCCAAGTTTATCGCATCATCTTCGCACCATGTATCGAATTCCTTCACGAAACTCGTTAGAATTTTAACCCACTGCTCATACAAAGAAACATTAATATATTAGTTACTCCAAAAATTAAATTATATAACACAATATAATGTAGTACGAGCTAGCTTACGAGGTTAATTAGATGATGTTTAACGCAACGGCCTTGCACCACGTAAGCCCTTTCTGCTATCTCGTTTACAGTGCGGTACACCGCTGTATAGAGTATCTCAACTTCTTGGAAACCGTTATCTACGGTTGGCTTCTCATTCCACCTATTATTAATCCATGATTTTTTTTTACATAAATAACTGCGTATACACAACATATATAGTATATAATTAGCTCATTAAATCAATAACATAAGGAACGAACAACATACTCTTTTACTAAATCTAGGATCTTGTATGATTCTTCTCGAGAACCATGTTGATCGAAAAAATCATCGATGCGTGCTATAAGCACAACGTTTTTGGCGAATGACATACGAGCATCGACCAATTGAGGATCGCCAAAAATTGCTGAAGCCATAAAATGGGCCATAAGTAACGCATCTCGTCCGATGTTCAAGCGGTCCAACCCACAATCGCTGTACCATCTGTATATATATGTATATAGTTATGTTCAATTTTTTAACAATATCGCTTAATATATATAATATATGTGTTGTGGAGATAATATATACCTCTCTAATTGTTGAAACTCTTTCTGATGTAAAGCTTGGCAAATATTAAAATTTTGCCTTGAAAATACAAGAAACTCTTCGTTGTATATCGTGGGGCACCTATTGCATGCGGAGAAGAAACATGCAGAAACAATATGTTCTTGACCATTATTGATTGACGAAACGAATAATTCATTTAATTTAAAATTTGTGACATGAATTATTACAATGTAAGTATTGGAATGTTAATTACCTATATGCAGCTTTCATAACATGGTAATTATTCATGTCGTATAGATCAAGGCTTCGTCTATTTCCAACTCGTCCTAGTATGCCGTGGAAGTTCTTCAATTCATATTCCACCTTATAATTTTGATAGCGTACAACCATTTTATTTTTGAGAAAGTTAAAGTGAGATGATCGATCACTAATTAACGGAGATGATAAATACTAGTTGCGGTGAGTACACACGATCGTGGCTATTACCTTTTTTCGCAATTTCTTGTCAGGAATGGTTTCACTCAGCAACTGCTGCTTCAGAAATGTGGTGGTCCATTCGTTTATAGCGTCGAGAGTTGTTTCGTCTTCATGTATTCGTAATTGTGATGCTTTATAAAGCTCGAGAATCGTACTCACGCCAGTCGTTTGTAGGCTAATGTGATCTCGCTCCGCATACGGAACCAGAAAATCTGAACCAATCAATCAACTTTATTGTTTGATGCACATGAATATTTGCTGAAATATATATATATATATATATATATATATATATATATATATATATATATATATATATATATATATATATATATATATATATATATATATATATATATATATATATATATATATATATATATATAGAGTACCTGATGAGACTTCAAATCCTTTGATGCGCAATAGTCTAAATGCGACAGCACAACAAGTAATGTCTTTGAAAATCTCTTCTTCTTTATGTAGCCATAGCCTGAGCCAATCACCAGTTTTAATAATCACATATGCATGGGAGCATTTATGTATCCACATGTATGTATAATATATGATAAGATACATGAATAGTTAGATAAATGTATATATATCTAGTTTTCACGATGAATCTTATATGATGCATGTTCTACTTTGACCTACACTAGTGTAGATAGGTGTGGAGATTGTACTTGTAATTTAACATGTTACCAGTGTAGATAGGTGTGGATATTGTACTTGTAATTCAACATGTTTTAGGTATATTAAAATATGATGAATCGATCGACCACACATTGATTATGGAGATACGTACTCCTCAACTATTTCGTTGTTTATCTAGCTAGTTCACATATTTTTGCAAAATAGTCAACATGGTATGAAGAGTATTTGCTAGTCAAATTCCAAGAAAATAAGAAAATGAAGAGTATTAGCTATTTGCTAGTGCAATTCCAGAAGAAGAAGACTGCAAATTCAAAGAGAATTTGGAGTTGTTGAAGAAAACACATTAAAGAGAGGTGTTGAAATATTAATGCACTTTCTTTTCTTTTTTCTTTTTTTTTTCTCCTTAAAAAATAGTTTTATAATATGACAATACAACGAACACACCCGAAACATGCACCCAAAGGGATTTGAACCCCTGACCTCTCACAAAGCACCACTATGGAAGAGGCTCTTGATACCACTAGACTAAAGCCTAGTTGATATTAATGCACTTTCTACAAGTGTATCTATCCACATGCATGTATAATGTATGATATCCAACACATACACCCAATACTTTAGTTTTTAATTCCTCAAAAATTATTACCTATATGTTTCTTCAAGGATATTGTCGATTTCAAGTTCAAAGTATCGATCTATTCCCAACTCTTGGATGGTTTCAACCAGGCAGAGACGAGTATATATTTCCAACGGATAATTAGTCGGCGCTATAAGAGATTTCAAACAAAAAGATTATGTATTAGGGGTTATTACGGTTATCCATCCATAAAATGACTCAAGTGCCCTTCAATTGGATGGATTCTAGGCAATTCCGGCGAACATTGCTGGAGGTTTTAATTTAAGACACAATTAAGTGCACCTAGAATAAAATTTTGAAGGGGAAGATTCTCTTTTTTTAATTTATACCGGAAAAGTGCAAAAAAATGAAATTTTCTAGGGGCGAAATGCATTTCGCCATTAGAATAATCAACCCATAGGCTAAGTTGAGATACCCCTCAACCTTCCTTAATTGAAGTGTACAATTATTTATTGTTAGGATTTACCCCAATTCTTGAATGTGTTGAGGAACGATTGTAAATAGTCGAAGCATTTATTGTTGCCTTGATGGTGAACTAGAGCAGCTGCAGTGGTGGCCGGCGAATTGTAAAGCGAACCATTATTTCTTTGTTGTGTCAATATTAATGTGCTCCAATTCAACCACTCTCCAATTCCTTCGGCCACATATCCCAAATTCATGTGATCTCTTTCACTAACATTATCATAAACACAATTTTTGATAAAATTAATACAATACAAACATCAAGGATTATATATATATATATATAATTATGTACTAACCTCTTAATTTGTGAGTCATGACTTTGAAACATAGAATCAATTAAATCCTGGTCAAAAGGAAGAGTGAGTTCAATTTCATTAGCATAGGTGATCATAGTCGGGAAAATAATATTGAAACCAATTGGAGAAATCTGATCCTTGTCGACAACTGCCCAGCTATTTTTTCTTATAAATTCCAATCCTGGAAAACAATTCATAAATAATATAATTAGTTTATATAATAAAAAAGCGAAAATTACACCTACACCCCTGAAGTATGCTAAATTAACTTTAAGGTCTCTGTAGTATTGGTAATTACAGCCACACCTCTAAAACAATTATTAGAGCCAAGATTTCATGTTCTGTGAACGATATGCACTATATTTGTTTCGTGCGGGCCTTTAGTTCTACCATAGACAAAAATTTATAAATCTTAAATAAAATAATAAGGGTTTGTTAGGAGAGCCATGTGGCCCATGGCCCCATGTCACCCCCTACCTCTACGTTGTCTTTACCATAGTCCGTTGGAACCCTAACGGAATAATGTTCCGTTATTCCTTTAGGGTTATAACATAATAACTTATTCAATGCATTATTCAGATATGGTTTCTAACAATGTTTCATGAGGAAGATTGTAATTTCCGATATTACAGGGACCTTAAAGTTATTTTAGCATGTGCATGTATATTTGAGATATTTAAAGGGTAAATTACACCCACACCTCTGATGTATGCTTAAATAACTTTAAGGTCCCTGTGATATCGATAATTACACTCACCCCCTTGACACGTAGTTATTAACTCTAATGGGATAATGCATTGGATAAGTTATTACGATAGAGTTCTAATGGACTATTGGTTTCAGGAAATGGTGGAGACAACAAATAGTTATGGGTGATTTAAGAAATATTGGGGGAGCCATGTCACCCCATAACTCTCCATAACTCTATGTTATCTTCAACATTAGCTAAAAGTAATAGTCCATTAGAACCCTATCGGAATAATGTATCCAATGCATTATCCCGTTGGAGTTTCTAACTACGTTCCAGGGGGGAGACTGCAATTATCGATACCATAGGGACTTTAAAATTATTTAAGCATACCTCAGGGATGTGGGTGTAATTTACCCTTTATAAATTTAAAAGTAATTAAATTATACCTTTATGGATTTGTTTGTGGGCAACGTTCCATTTGCGGAGGGCGAGCAAGCATGCGAGCGTGCAAGAAAGAGAGTCTTTAACAAGAGATGGATGACCCGGGTTCAAACCCCATGACCCGTCTGAGTTCTGATTTTCGATTATCCAATCCAGGCACTGTGGGAAACAAGGCTGACTGATTATTCCGCCGGAATATTCCCTCTCCGGCACCATCGCCGGCCACCCAGGCCGTGTCGTATGCAGACGGAGTTATCTCAACTTTACCATTTGTGATCCTCTCTCTCATTCTTTCGATTGATTCTTGTAAGATCTATATCGTTAGTACAATTTAGTTAGTTAATTAATCGATCCACCGTGTAATTAAACATGTACTGGAAAAACTGGAAAATATATATAATAGTACTGTTGGATTATGATCAAGGCTGCATCTGAATGTGACTGCTGATTTATGCATGGTGTGAAATATTCGAACTGCGCAAAGTGGAAAAGAATTAAAATCCATTAATTAATTGGCGATAACTGTAATGAAATAGACATACTTAAAAGGGCTAATTAATTATAAGATGAAACATGGAAATTAAAAAAAACCTGGAAAAGTTTGTGTGTTGTTTCTAATTCCATTTTCTGAAAAAGGGAAAACTGTGACTTTCAACCCCACTGACATTTTCTATTACCCCGGTTACTGCAAGTGCTGGCTGCAGATTTAGTTGTGGATATATATATATATATATATATATATATATATATATATATATATATATATATATATATATATATGCGCCAAAACAGGGTAGTAGCTTGAACCTAACCTACAGAAAATGGCCATAAATTTTTTTTTTGGTAGCTGACTAGCTGTTAAATAGTCATATTTGTAAGAGTGAAATACTTTTGACTTTTTTTTTTTTTTGGCATATAGAGGGAAATGTTCAATCTCATTTTTTTCCCATTTCTTTAGTTCTAATGTTACACTCTTCTTCACCCTAGATTTCAATAATTACCTCTTCCTTACCGATGGCGGCCGCCGAGACACCACTGTCCGGACATCAAACACCTTGGCTGTCGCCGAGTCATCACCGTCTGGACATCAAAAACTCCCACCCAGTGGTGGATCCAGCTATGGTCTAGGGTGTGCAGTTGCACACCCTTGATTTTAGACAAAATGTACTGTTATACATAAGTTTACAAAAAAAACTATTTGTTGAGGTGGCAAAGATACTCTTCAACCATTAAAACCCCTCCACTTTGAATTTTTTATTCTACAAGTGCGACTCTTAAATATTGATTTCTTTTTCAAATCTTAAATATTTTCACCTTTTTTCTCTTTAAATATTTCCACAATTCACCTAAAATTTGTAAATTGTAAATTTTTGGTCTACTATTTTTATTAAATATTTAAATGTTTTATTCTACAATTTCGAACCCCCTTGGCAAAAATCCTGGATTCGCCACTGCCCACCGCCGTTCAGGATTCACGACATTAAAACCCCTCCACCGGGGCCGAGGCACGCACCACTGTCTGGACATCAAACACCTCCACCGTCGGAATTAAAACAATCCACCTCTGATAAAACGACAACTTCCTCCTCTATGGTCCCGACCAACGTATTGCGTGGCAAAGCTTAATTCTCCCTTCCATTACACTCTGGTATTTCTTCTATCGATTTTTGTGTTGTTATGTGACAGTTTGCGTACAATTATAGTCGATTGATAAGTCAACTATGTTTCGTTTATAGTCGATCTATTTTTTTTAGGTCTACTATACGCTGTAATATTTAAATCAACTATCGTCGATTAATAAATCAACTACACAAACACCATATTGAATTAACGGTCAAATTAATCCAAAAGTCGCGAAAAAATATAAGATAATCTAGAGTTTCGCGAAAAAACAGAGGGGGTTATCGCTTATTATTTTCAAATGGTGGACCTATCACAATGCAATTTCAAAACGTCGGATTTTCACTCATTATCCCTTCTTTTAGCTTAACAAACTTAATTTCATTTTCGGGACTACGAAGATTTCAAAACTCATATAAATAGCAATGTAAAACAATAATAAAAGAAATTATCTTCTAAAAAAATGTATTTCTTCAATGAAAACCAATGGTATAATAATTGTGTTTAACTTTTTATTTATTTAAATTAATTATTAGTAAGTATCTTATTAATAAAATAAAGGTTGCTCCTTGTGGTAAACCCTAGGATGAATATTAATTTTTTCAGAAAATATGTTTTTATGAATTTTTTTTCAGGCTAGATTCCGCGTTGACTGTGCAGTTCTCCAATGTTGATTTTTTGTTTGAAACTTTTTTTTTTCTCTAAATTACTATATTAACAACAAAATTATTGTCTAAGACCATAATATTGAATACCCAAATACTAATATTACAAATATTACTGTCCCAAACAGTAATGTTACTGTCACGAACACTAATATTACTGTCCCAAACTATAATATTATGAATATTACTAATATTTATGTCCCAGACAGTAATATTATTGTATGAGACAATAATATTACGGTCTGAGAGAGGAATACTACGGTCGAATACAGCAATGTTGCAGGCCAAGACGATAAAATTAATTAATATAGTAAAATTACTGTGTCGGACAGTAATATTACCGTCTCAGAAAGTTAAATTACTGTCTCCGAAAATTGAATTACGGTTGGAGAGAGTAATTTAGGAGCCAAGACAGTAATATTAATTAAAATAATTTTTTTAAGAAAAAATAAGTTTAAAAAAAAAAAGTCAACATAGTTTTCATAAAAAAAAAGTCGATATAAAAGGGTTTTCCCTATTTGCAAGTATGTTTGAATGAAGTGTGTTTAGTTGGAAGACAAAAAAGTTAAATGTCCCATTTTTAGTTAAGTGCCTTAGTCTTGGGCCTATTTGCCATTTGCCCTTTTAAAAAAAACTTTGTTTGGGAAATGAGAATTGAACTTAATAATGAGGTGAATCAGGATTTAAATAAGGCTGCGGCTATATGAAATACTAATTCCATTTGTGCAAGACCAAATTAAAGAAAAATTCCAAAGATTCCATTTTATTAAGATCAAATGATAAATATACCCATAAATTAAATTGACTTTTGATTACTCATGCAAGACCAAATAACAAATAATGAAAGGAAAAAAAACAACAACTAAACTGCGTCTACGCAATCGCCTTTTGCTATAAAAAATAAATGAATATTGAAATATAAAGTAATCGGAAAATAGAAAGTTAAAAAAATATGAAACAACTAAATTTCGACATTAAGGTGTCGAATATATGTCCATAAATTCAACACCTTAATGTCGAAATTTTGTATATTTGGACTAATTTGCTAACAGTTAAATTTCAACACTAAGGTGTTGATTTTGTACTCCAAAATCGACATCTCAATGTCGATTTTTACCTATAAAATTCGACCTGTACATGTCGACCGCGTCTGCGCGGGATTGTTTATGGAAAAAACGATATCTTCCACCGTAGAATTTATAATTTTGATGTCTTCTGACTCCACACTTGCCATCTTTGTAGGATTTGTTGACTTTTGATGATTTTGAATGTTTAGTTTTGTGGGTTTATGGAGGAGGAAGGAGAAAGGTTTTGTGGGTTTTGGAAGATGGAGAATATGAAAGTTGGTCTTGTGGTATCGTGATTGGTTTTTTGTGTTTGTGAATTTTTGGTATTGCATATTTGAAATTTTCTATTTTTTTAACAAGTAAGGGTATTATAGTATTTATACATTAAAATATTTAATTTGATCTTGCACAAGTGGAATTAGTCTTGCATATAACCGCAACCTTTAAATAATTCTAACTGTTTTAGACATATTTTGTGATATTTTACGCCTATACTTATCAAAATATTTCAGTGACATTGCCTCTAAACCCCCCAACAAACTTTTAGTCCATAACTTTGATATTCTATTATTTATAGTTTTCTGAATACCCTTAGATCAAATCATAAATTCACAACTAAACTGAGGGCACATATAGTTATAATCTGGCAAACATGAAGAGATAGTTGTCACTTAAAGCATTGCCCAATCGGCATCATTTAAAAAAAAAAGGAAAAAGAAAAAGATATTTGTAATTTCATTCTCCACATACAAATTCTAAATGAACACCTTCCCAAATTAAAACTCATCTAAAATGTGAAATTTACTGTTTTCATCCTCAAGTTTGCAGTTATTTCACATTTTTGGTCCCTCATGATTACAATAACACTTTTGGTCCCTCATGCTTCAATAATTTGACAATTTTAGTCATTTCCGTCAATTCACCCTTAGTCCGTCATTTACGGTAGTGATGGACACATATTTATTTCGTTAGTTTTAACATAAAATTGACAGAAATGACTAAAAATGTTGAATTTTTGAAACATGAGGGACCAAATTTGTTTTTTGTGAACATGGGGGACCAAATGTGAAATTTGTTCAAACTTGTGGGATGAAAATTGTATTTTCCCCATTTAAAATCTAGTTCAATATCTCCATGTGTCATCAGATAGATGGCATCCGTTTTTCGAAATAAAATGCGGCGGAGTATTTGTATCATTGTATACTACACCCGGTGAAAATTACATGTGTGCATGTTTGTATCCTTCTTAATAGTAAAGATTTACCCTATGTATTTCACCCAATGTAACATAGTATAAACCAAATGCGGCGTCCGTCTCAACTAAAAAAACAGTCACATTACCTTATAGTGTTGCCCGATTGGTAGTGTAGTATCAGTCAATTAGTTAGTAACTAATTAATAGCCATTCTTCTTGAACTAGCGGTGCCAAATTATTTGTTTGTCTTAAATTACTAGCCGGAAATAAGAAATATATTAAATTATTTATAAAATATCAAATATGCCCAAATTACAGTTCTCATTCTTCAAGTTTGCACTGATTTCATATTTGGTCCCCTATATTTACAAAAAACACATTTGGTCCCTCATATTTCAATAATTTAACCCTTTTGGTCATTTCCGCCAATTTACCGTTAGTCTGTCAGTTATGTCATTGATGGGCACACGCTTGATTAAGTTAGTTTTAATGGAAAATTGACGGAAATAACTAAAAGTGTTGAATTTTTGAAACATAAGAGACGAAATGTGTTTTTTTTTTTTTGAAAATGAGGCACCAAATGTGAAATTGGTGCTAATGTAAGGAACGAAAACTGTATTTTTTCCATAAGTTATTGTACTGCTATGAAATGCTACACCCAATCAAATA